CTGCTGCATCCGATGAAGGATTGGATTGGAGAGGTATTACATGAGTACTAAGCCAGACTTCTTCTTCTCTGTTAATTATTGAAGGTGAATTCTCCCCCTGAGAAGGAGAAGTAGAGACTCCCCCTGAGTAGTAAGGCTCATTCTCCCGGAAAGTGACTTCCAAAGTGACAAATATTTTATGAGAAAGAGGGTCAAAGCAGCGATACCCTTTCTGGACATCTGAATAGCCAACAAAAATGCTTTTTTTTTGCACAGGGATCCAATTTAGATCGCTGATTTTTTGGGATATGAACATAGGTGGTGCAGCCAAAGATTCGGGGTTCTAGGTTAGAGGGGTGAGGGACAGAAAAGTGAGAAGTAAGGGCTTGGTAAGGTGTTTTAAAATTAAGGACACTAGAAGGGGTCCTATTAATAAGGTAAGCTGCTGAAGTTACAGCCTCTCCCCAATAGAAGGAAGGAACATTCATCCCAAACAAGCTCTAACTACTTCCAAAAGTGTTCGATTCATTCTTTCTGCCAATCCGTTTTGCTGTGGAGTATAGGAGCAAGAGGTAAGGTGTTTGATTCCATGGGAGGACAGAAATTCAGTAAAGTCTCCTGACATATATTCCATTCCATTATCTGATTGAAGAATTTGAATGGTGGTCTTAAATTGATTTTGAACCATGTGAAAAAAAAAATTAAACACAGAAAAAACTTGTCCTTTATTTTTCAGAAGACTCACCCAACACATACGAGTACACTCATCAATGAATGTTACATAATACAAGGAGTTAGAGAAAGAAGGGACTTTGGCAGGGCCCCATACATCAGAGTGAATCACTTGAAAGGGAATAATACTTTTATTCAAACTTGGATAAAAAGGTATCCTATGGCTCTTTGCCAATTCACAAACAGAATAATGAAAATCACTAATACTGACATCAGAAAAAAAATGGGGAAATAATTTATTCAGATAGCTAAAAGAAAGGTGGCCTAATCGCCTATGCCATAACCAAATACGGTTTTTTGCAGACTCCACATCCGAAGTAGTAGATGCACGAGGAGGGGAGTCACTACCACCAGATGAGACATCCAAGAAGTACAACTTGCCTTTTCTAACACCATAACCAAGGGTCTCCTGTGTTTGGTTGTCCTGGAAAATACATTTATTTTGCAAAAAAATCACAGAACAATTAAGCTCAGAGGTTAGTTGACTAACAGAGAGTAGATTAAAATCAAGGGAGGGAACGGCTAACACAGATTGAAGGTGTAACCGATTGGAAAGAGAGATTGAACCCTGGCCAACAATGGCAGAGGTTCCACCATTAGCTGTAGAAATTACAATTTTAGGGGAAAGGGAAAATCAGAGAGGAGATGAGGGTCCCGAATCATATGATCGGATGCACCAGTGTCAATTATCCATGAATCAAAGTCAGATAATGTAGAGAAAGCATGAGACTCACCTAGAATTCCTTCGTAGACTGCATTTGCTGAAGGAGGAGGCCCTGTAGCAGAGGAGGGAGGCAACGCCTTGTTCAGAATTTTCCTTCGTGGTTTCTTATTGAAATCCCACCATTCGGGATATCCAATGAGTTCGTAGCAGCGACTCTTGGAGTGTCCAGAATCGCCACAATGACTGCAAAGAAAAGATTTGCTGAGTGATGGATCCTTGCGGGTTTTTGGAGCAGGGGTCGTGGTGGAGGAGCGAGGAGCGTGGGAGACCAGAGTGGAGGATTCCGGTGTAGATGCTGGTCGGCTCATGGTGACTCTTTGTTGATATTCACGGCGGAGGAAGGCATAAGCTCCTTCAAGATCCAATTTGGGATCCTTACGAAGTATCTCCCCTCGAACCTGAGCAAAGTCCGAGTCTAATCCACACAAGAAAATGTACAAGCGCATGCGGGCCATGGAGGAGTGGTTCTGGACAACATCAGCGACGGTTGTAGCAGAGGAGGATAACCGGTGGTCAATCTCTTGAAAGATGGACAGAAGGTCGTTGTAGTAGGTTGAAAGGGGGCGGCCAAGCTGTTTGGTGGAGAATGCACGCTGATACAGTTCGAAGAGGAGGGTCTCATCAGAACCGTCATAGAACGTTCGTCGGGCCGCGTCCCAGATGGCGACGGCAGATTCAAGGCGGATAAACCGCTGCATCAGAGGAGGACTCATCGATTCGATGAGCCAACTCTTCACCTTCGTGTTATCCGTCACCCAGGCGTCATAGGTAGGATCTGTGACGGTGGGCTTCGCCGTAGCTCCGGTGATATAACCAGACTTGGTTCGAGCACCAATTCGCATCTCCATAAGCTGGGACCAAAGCGGGTAGTTTGATTCATCAAGGATGAGGGTAACCGGAAAGGAGGAGGTTTCTTGCTGGATGATGATGTTGGACGGTGGGACGTTGGCAGCGGCGTGAGGTGGGGAAGATGGGGGGTGGGGTTGTTGTTTGCATTTTCGTTTTCCATTAGATGGAATTAGGGATTCTGACGCAAGGTCAGGGAAAGAAGGATGTTTAATGAAAAAGTAACGGGTGGAATAAGTGGGAATTAAAGGAATTAGAGGAATAAGTGGTAACGGGTGTTTAATGAAAAAGTGTCTTGACCGTAAACTCTAAACTGATACCATGTAAAAATGCTGAATACTAAAATACTTTCAATTCATTCATACTTTTCCTCTTTAATTGAGGTGTATTTATACACAAGTAATTCATAAACAGAATAAATCTAAAGCCTAAAAATCCTCTAACAATTCCTAAACAAACTTTAACAATTCCTAAACAGACTTTCTGTTACAAACAGTAATTTCAAAAATACATTTACAACAATATTTCAAATTCAAAACTTCCTATTCTAACAGTTGTGCTCTTAGAATAAGATAATGAATCAATATAATTAAACAGTCATCAATTGGGGGGATAACTGTCAATAGTTACAATCATAAATTGGGAAATAAATACCGACGGTTGTCTGAATACAAAAAAGTCATCCATTTTGTAATAATTATATAATAGAAGGGTTTAGTATTTATTATTTTAAATGACACAACTTTGTGTCCTTTTTAATGAAACTATGTCGTTTTGATGTGTTTTTATCATTTTTTCTAATTTATAAAATTAGAAATAAAAAGAAAATGGAGGAGAGAAAATATAAAAACTTACCAAAACGACATAGTTTCATTAATAAAAACATAACTTTATCTCATTTAAAATGACAAATATTTTTTCTCATAGAATATATTTAGTATTGACTTGCATAGTTATTTGCAAAAATTTGTTTAACCTCTCACGTCCAGAATCAATTTCATTTATGGAGAAACATGGATCGAAATCTTGTTTCTATAATAATTAATTATTTATATATTGTATAGAATTTATTTTGGAAAGAGAAAAAACCACTCCATATAATTTTCTTGAGATGCTCTTTTGATTTTATTCCGCCATGTTATGTCCAGCTAAACCTTTATGGGTAACAGTTGTGTTGTGTTCCTTGGCAGTGTCTAACCGCGTCAGATTACATGGATCTGTTTGATGACACGATGAATTGAATTGATCCTATACAAAATAAAATTTACTTTTGAGCTTTTGCTTATTAACTTTTTTTTTTTTTTTAAAGCAAACCACTCTTGTTAAGTGATTGATTTTCCTTTTTGGTGAAATTATTGTTTAGGTTGGCTTTTGACGATAAATGACACGCACCCATTTGCAAGCCCATGTGGGTTGCTTTCTAACCATAGGCACACCTTTACCCACAATGTGCAGATATTTGGCACAGCCCACACGGTCTTTAATTTTCTGGTAAACCATTTCCATATTGCACATCACAGAACAAATGATAACATACAAAGTTCACTGTTAAAGCTCACTGTTTGAGCAATTTCCAAATTATATTTAAGTTCCATACAAAGTAGAATATGGTTAAAAGCTATGCTTTTGGTTTTCATTAGCTTTAAACAGGTTTAAAGCTAAGAAGTCAAGTCTTTTCCGCATTGTTGATAATGTGACATGATATATCTTGAGCTTACAATATGCTGTTTGAATATTATTTTTAAAAATAATTTTTTTGATTTTCAGGATAAAAAAACTCATTTGACAAGGTCTATTTTATAAATAAAGTTTTAAAAATTGTAACTTTTTTGTTTTTGTTTTTAGAATCAAATTTAAAGAACATATCTCAGTTGTTTTTATTTTGTGTTTTAACTTTTAACTTAAAAAAATACACACAAACACCACTAGGGTTAGCCTAGTGGTGTGGGGAGTGTGTGTGTTAGAAGTGTGTGTAGTGTAGGGTGTTGTGTTCAATACCTTGTAACCTCAAAAAAAAAAACACAAAAAACTTATGTTTCCATAACTATTGCACAAAACAACTTTAAAAAAAAAATCACAACACAAATCAAATAGAGTCTGACGTGGTGTTTGGTAGAAGGATTATTTTTAGAGCCTAAGAAATTGAAGGGAGGTTTTCTAGAATTCCATATTTGGTAACACATTAGAGAATTTTTTTTCCAAGAAATTTATTTTTTCAGAATTTTGTTTTGTGTATATTTTCTAAGAAAAAAATATTTCTACAGTCACACTTTGAATAAGATTATCTACAGCTATCATTTATAACTATGTTTTCTCGGGAGAACATAGTTATAACATTAAAGTTGTCCACTTCAGCAAACAAGTTCTGAAAAGTAATTGAGAAAAACATCTAGAGGTGGTATTTCAGGAATCCCATGCGATGGGAAAATATGGATTAATTTTTCAGACAAAAATAATAAAAAATAATATCAGAAAAATTAACTTAACATTTTGAAAATATTTTAGCCTACCAAACAATTTTTTTGATAATATTTCTAGAAAATTTATTTTCTCATGGTATTCTCAAAACTCGTAATTTTCATATAAATTTTTTTTATCTTCTCCCAAACGCCACGACTCTTTTTCCTTACTAGAAGAATTTTCGCAAAATTGTCCGCTTCTTTGCGTGTGTTTTAAGGCTAAAATTGGGTAATATCTTTACAACGTGAGTTTCATAAATGAAAGGATATGCCTTTATTGTAAGACCAATGGTCCTTCTTCTTGTGGTATAGTTTTATCATATATATAGGTCCAGTTTTTCTTCAATAACTAAGAAATTTGATACCTTTTTAAATTACTATAGAAGAAGAGTTTGAGACATGTTTTGTTTTTCTTCCTCGTAGTGATTTTCTATATGATAGTTCGAAATGAAGATGTGAAAGCAAAGAAGGAGGCATGTCTTTCAGTGGGTTAGGTATTGCTTTAAGCCTTGTATTTGGGTGCCTTGTACTGGCTCTGGTTGCAGCAGTGCTTTGCTATATGTTGTGGTGGAAGAAAAGAAGAACCCACACAGGAATTGGAATAAATCACGGCAATGATGTAAAGGGGATGAAGCTTTTTGGATTTTGTTGGAAGACACCATCCACCACCAATCGAGTGAGTGTGACCAATGACTCAGAAAACGAAAGTCATGAACCAGACTTGGAGTTAGGTACCGGAAAAGATTTATTGCTGAAGGCCTTTGGAGGAGAAGGAGTAGAATCAGAATTGATGAGGCTGCACAATCTTGCTGGTCCACCAAGATTTTTGTTCACAATCAAAGAGGAAACCAAAGAAGATTTGGAGTCTGAAGATGGAAAGTCAAGGGGTGATAGGAGCAGAAAAGGGTCAAGAACAAGGAGCTTGAGTGATCTTATGGTAACAATTGATACCCCTTTCCTTAACTCAATGGCTTCCTCACCGTTGAAGTTTGATTCTTATAAGCACCAAGGGTTCAATCCTCTCTTTGAATCATCAGTAGAGTCAGAACTCAGCAGATTTAGATCTTCACCGCCTCCAAAGTTCAAGTTCCTGAGGGATGCAGAGGAGAAGTTGTATAGAAGATTGATTGAAGAAGCTAAGAGAAAGGCACAAATGAATTATGGGTCTGTACCAGAAATTGAGTTAAAAGATTCCCCTAATTCAATAACGGTGATAGATGACATAGACAAGTCCTCTCTTAGGTTCATTAACAACAAAGAGAAAGAGCAGATAGAGCTTCAACAACATCTACCACAGTTTCCTTCAAGTTCATCTCAGGTTCTTCCCTTAGAGTCTTCTCCTACAACATTAAGACCAGTTCAGAAGGCATCCATGGTACATTAGATTTTCAAACTTCTAGAGGCCTCTGATAGATTTTTTCTTCCCTTCACATGTTAATTAATTTATCTTAATGATTTCTGAGCTAATTTTTAATGTTTTACAAAAGCATTGGTTCTTTTTTTTCCCACCCTCCTTGTGTGCTTTGAAATTATTGGGATGGTCAATATGTTGCAAAATTTGCTCATGGCATGCCAACAAACCAAATGCAGAGTAACATGCTCTTAAACCGTTTAACATGAAGTTATTATTGAGCAGAACACTTGGTGGGGCAATGGGTTCTTGTCAATTTTCTAAGTTGCTGCGTCATTATGACCTTAACCAGTTAATCATTCATGTGAATGATAGTTGTTTGCTACCAATTTTCTTTATTTAAAAGGCCTCAATGATTTAATCCTCTCTTTTATAGACATTTCAGCAATCATTTCACATACAATCCGCTTTGGTATACAAGTAGGCGCAAGCTGGTCATATGCTCACAACTTTGTCGTTTGTTTCTTTTTCCAATACTAATTTACCTCTTACATTAATAAATGGGGAACGTGATCATTTTGTCATGCTTAGCAAAAAAATTTACCAAACTGCCACGTCAACAGTAAATTTTACCAAAATGTCATGCGGCATATTTCGCTAAATATGTTTGCAAATAATTCGCTACACAGTGTAGCGAAATATGCCATGTCAGGCTGCACAGTCAGCAAAAATGACACGTGTCAGGCAGAAATTTGCTACACTGTGTAGCGAATTATGCTTGGATTCTGCTTGACACGTGTCATTTTTTGCTGACTGTGCATCCTGACATGGCATATTTCGCTACACTATGTAGCGAATTACTTGCAAACATATTTCGCTACACAGTGTAGCGAAATATATCGCGTGACATTTTGACAAAATTTACTATTGACGTGCTGATAAATTTATTTGCGAGGTGTAACAAAATAGTCTCTCTTCCAATAATTGGTTACCAATTGAAGTTAGGAAGAATCTCAGTAAATAATTTTCCTCTTCATTCATAATTGGTTGCCAATTCTCTTTTTAACAATTTCTTTATTATTATTATATGAAACCGCAGTACATAATTTTACTAAATAATTTAATTCTACTCCCTATAATGAAGCCGGCATGAAATTTAATCTATTAATAAAAAGAGTATTTTAAATAAAATGTCACTAGCATTTCTCTTTATGCCAGTAACCAACAAAAATTTAACCTAGCTTAATGTTACTTGTAAATAAAATTTGTGTCGTTTCTTTTCTTTTCTCAATGCTAATATACATTTTCATTCGGAATTGGTTAACAATCTCGAACAGTTGCCTCCTAAATTTTAAGGTAAATATTACTTGTAAATAAAATTACTGTGTAGACCCCTCATAAAAGTAATGGACCCATTGATGGGATAAAACGGAAAAAACAAAAAGAAAAAAAAATTGAACTACAATGTTCAAATTGATGGGAAATATGCGAGGAAAAATGTCTGTACAAGTAACATAATGAAAATTTAAAGGTTAGCGTGCAAGCAAGAAAGCATGTTCTAATGCAATTTTTAAATGACAGAGCTAATATTATATATGCGTAATAAACAAAAGATGGGAATGTCAATGCTTCATACTTACGCGGTTAGCAAAGTGGTGTACAGATAATGAGTTTGCTTGAGGAGGCTGTGGAAATTTGTATCAAGCCAAGACTTTTTGTGAAGAATTTTTACCTTTTTTTCTTTCCCTCGTCACCCAAAAGAAAATGTTTCTGCCTCAACAAGTTGTAGCTTTTTTTTTTGTCGTTACTCATCGAATATAGTATGAAAGGGTAAGTAAAACCATTCAATAAGCTTAATTTTTAGAGTGAAAATATTCAAAATAGGTGCCTGTATTGGGGAGCAAATTGTAGGAAGGAACAACCTTCATTAGATTATTGATCATTTAATTGGTATCTCCGGAGGATGTCAAATCAATCATAAATTGACAAAGTTGAAAACGGTGCGTGTCGCGAATGGGTTAAGGTGTCAATAAACTTTTACCCAAAAAACAAGTGATGTCGTTGTTATCACGCGATTCGGTAGAAAGTTCCCTCAAAGGCTCAAACTCACAAAGTATCAGCTCCATCCTTTTGAAATTTGAAAATTGCAAGTTTACCAAATCAACACTTTACGACCTTACACGTTAAAAAGGATAAGTTGTTATTTGGTGAGTGAGTGCTAACATAACGTTCACAATTTGAACGATTCAATAGAAAGAAAATTAATAAGATGGCTTTAAATTCCGGAATAAGAATGGTTCATTCAATAATAGCTGGAAAAATTGGAAGTTTGAGCATGGCTCCATGTGAAATCCGGCATACCCAGTCGGGTGGTCCTGGCCGAGAAGTCAATTTGTTGGGTCCACTCTATTAACTTCTTTAGAATTCAAATTGATTATTTGGTTTGAATAATTCACAAACTGTTAAAGAGATACCCCACCAACATAAAATATTATGAAGTTTAAAAATAATATTTTAATATTTCATTCTATTATGATTTTCCATTTCTTCTTTCTTAACCCACAAGTTGAAATCTTGTATCCGTGGATTTCAGATTTAGTACCATTTGGACGAGTTTTTATTCGTAAAAAAGTTGTTTTTTTTTTTTTAAATAAAAATCATTTTTGAAAATTTTTAGACGTTTGAATAATAACTTTTAAAAAAAGAAATTTAAAATAAAATTTAAAATGCTGCTTTTCTTTTGTCAGTAATTGATTACTTTTGAAAAAATTAGAAATTAAAAGATAATATAATTTTTTTTGAAAATAAAATAATATAAGTTTTTAAAATACAATTTTAGCCTCGTCTTATCATACATGTTTTATCTTTTCTTATCTTACGATCATGCTATTTTATCTCTCTTTTATTATAATTTTATATAAAAAAGTGTTTTTTTTTATTTTAACATCCAAATAATTTTTTTATGTAAAAGTGATTTTCAGATCATATATCTAAATAAAATAACTTTATCATTTAGCAAAAATTTTATTAAAAAAATAATGCATAAAAAATCATTTTTTTAAATGTTCGTCCAAACACGTCCTTAATTAGTATGTTGTAGAAGAGCCCAACTTGACACTTGTCTTATTTTCAGTGTTATCCGTTGGAATGCCAAAAAGTTCATCCGCAAAACTCTACACAAATAGCTTATCAAACAAGTATTTCTTTATTATTGCTACTTTTCTTTTGGAATAAGCAGCCTATATTTTATTTGTCATTTGTGAATTTTGATTATTAGCTACATATAGTATATGGTTGCAGATATAGTATAGGAGCTATAGCTTCAGTTGGAGTGTTACTTGATTGTTTGGTTCCCACTTCCACTGAAACAGAGTTGAACCAACAATATTATATTAATAGACGTTGGACAGATACATTAGGTTATTCTCAAGAAAAATGAAATTGAGCTTAGCTAAGCAAGTCCACACGAGCCATCACATGGGTTCGGCACTGATATGCATTCAGCATATAAAGAAATTTAAGTCAAAAAGAAAAAGAATGTTGATTAAATCTTAAGTAAAAAGGGCAATAATCACTGTTGATCTGTCAAAATCTTAATCAGAGATTGCATACTGATTTTATGTTGATTTCGTAGGAAAAACAGACAAACTGGAGTTAAAAAGGAAAAAGCTAAACTGAAGGCCCACGCTGAGAGCGTGGGTATGATGCTGAAAGCATGAGAAGACATTTTCTGACAGAGGCATCCACGCTACTAGCGTGGGACTCACGCTAGTAGCGCCAGATATCAAAAACGGGCAGAAGCTACCACGCTACTAGCATGGCACTGACGCTAGTAGCGCCAGACATTTCACAAACCCACGCTTGTAGCATGGAGCTCTAGGATTCTGAAGAAAAACTCTCATGCTCATAGCGTGGGAACCACGCTAGTGGCGTGGGAGGTGCGTCAATCAGCATTAAATCTGTTTTAAATCAGAGATAGATCACACTGAGATTACGACAAGGATTCAATCAAAGATTCTACACCAGGTCAAAGACTCTATAAATAGAGACTCGGACCTCAAGAGAGAAAAAACACTTTTTGCACGAGAGAAATTGCGAGCAACAGGAATCGGAGAGAGCTTTCGGTGCTTGAAGAATCAAGATTTCTTCTTCCATTCTTTCCGGTTAATTTTAGTTTTATGAATTCTTTTGAATATTTGGTTTTGTCAGACATGAATATGTCTGGCTAGTCTTTTTATATTGTGGTAAGGGTCACAACCCTTGATGTGAACCCCTTGTAGTCTGGTTAAATTTATATTTAATTATTTTAAATTGCATTTATTTTATCCTGTTCTTGATCTTTTAATTCTTTTAGAATTGATCACTCTATTAGGATTGCGAGGGTTAGGGTTTTCAATAGGAATATTGGGATTCTAGTTTCTGACAAGGGTAAAACAACAGTTCATGTATGCACTAGGGATAGGCTACATGAACTACAAACGTGGAAAATTCACTGGGTTAAAGGATTAACTTGAAAAAGGATTCCTAAGGGATTAGGATTCTAATAGGGTTAATAAAGTTAAGATCACTAAGGGATTAGGGCTTAACTAACCAATTAATAGATGGTGAATTGTTTGATCAATGAATAATTAAATGTAAATATTAATTAATATTACAAGGTAGGGATCGGAAAGGTGTTGGCGTCCTTTACTGCAATAGCTTTTTAAATATTTTTCTCAACTTTAATCTTTTATTCTCAAGTTCTCAAAATCATCTTTGAATTGTTCACAAGTCTTGAATAATTCTCAATTTTTACAATCACAAATATTCTCAAAACCAATTTTATTAATCCAACAAGAAAGGAATAGTTAAAATAATTTTGGTGCCTTAATCCTCGTGGTGACGATACTCTACTTACCCTTTTATTACTTGGTACGATCGGTGCACTTGCCGATTTTACGCAATAAGTTTTTGGCACCGTTGTCGGGGATTGACTACGCCAATTTTATTCTTAACTTTTGAATTTCTTGATTGGATTTTGTTTTTGTTACTAATCTTGTTGCTTGAGTTTATGCGAGGTAAAGTAAATCGAGACACTTTACAGTTTGATCCAGAAATAGAGAAAACTGCAAAGAAGAACCGAAAGCTAGCCAAGCAAAGAAAGCAGGAAGAGTCTTCGAGTTCTAAGCCAAACACAGAACCAGTGATGGCATCCCCTGATCCACCTCCCAGAGGAGAGTTGATGGAGTCAATTCTAGCCCCCATGTTCACTAGGCCTAACTCTAGCATTGTCAGGCCACAGATAGATGCCAACAACTATGACATCCAACCGTCTCTGATTACCTTGGTGGAGAAGACTCCTTTCGGTGGAGAGGATTATGAAGATCCTCACGACTTTATGGACAGATTTCTGAGAATCTGTGACACCACTAAGCATCATGGGGTGTCTGATGATGCAA